CTGTCAGAGCACCATCGACTAGTCCTGCGCGCACCACCAGGCCCCGGGTCCGGCTAGCGCGCTAGACCTATCGACACCTCGTCGACTAGTCCTGCGCGCACCGCCAGACCCTGGTGGCGCGCGCCACGGGCGTTCCCCTATCCACCACCCGGGGACGCGCCACGTCGGAGTTCACCTCTCCGCCCACCCGGACAACCGAGCAGGTCCGTGGTAGGTAGGTAGGTTAGGTTAGGTTAGGTTAGGTTAGGTTAGGTTAGGTTCCACGGACCTGCTCGGTTGTCCGAGTGGGCGGAGAGGTGAACTCCGACGTGGCGCGTCCCCGGGTGGTGGATAGGGGAATGCCCCGACATTGTGTCGGGGTAGGGCGAAAGCCCCGCGAACCAAACACTGGTAGGTAGGATAGCTAGGTTAGCTAGGATAAGTTAGGGTAGTTTAGGCTAGGTTGCGGGCCCACTTGTGGGCTCGCAATATTGAGGGCGGCGAGCCCGAACTGAGTACCGTCAGGGAAAGGTAAGGGTGAGCCTCATAGGGCGGAGGGCGCAAGCCCGATGCCGGGGCGGCGCGACCAGCTGGATCTCGACCTCTTGGTCGTGGGTCGCGGCCGTCCTATTAGGTTAGTCTAGGTTAGTTAATTTAAGCTAGGTTAGTTTAGATTAGGCTGCGGGCCCACTTGTGGGCTCGCAAATTGAGGGCGGCGTCTCGCCGGTAGGCGAGCGCCTAAAGAGGGGGGCGAGCCCAAGCTGAGTACCGTCAGGGAAAGGTGAGGGTGAGCCCCATAGGGCGGAGGGCGCAAGCCCGATGCCGGGGCGGCGTGACCATTTGACCTCTGGGTCGTGGGTCGCGGCCGTCGGATTAGGTTAGGATAGTTTAGCTAGGTTAGTTAGTTAGTGTAGGTTAATTAGGTTAGGATGCGGGCTCACTTGTGGGCTCGCAGACGTGAGGGCGGTGAAGGGCGCGAGCCCGACGCCAGGGCGGCGTGGCCCATCTGGGCTGTTGTCGTTGGGTGGGGCGTGGGAGAGTGCGACCTCGGTACCTATCTGCTCTCAGATTTGGACTCGATGGCGT